TATTCCTTGTAACCCAATGATTCTGCCTTGTCTCTGATGAGATCTGATAGGTCGGATCAAAGGGATAACGTTAGTCCGACTAGCGAACCTCCGATATATGGCCAGCGTTCGCCACATATAGATAGACAAGCACTCATCAAGCACTCAAGCAGTCGTGTACTCTAGGCTACATTAGATAGAGTATATCAATCGTTCGTTTTAATTGGGTCTTCTACATATAGGCCTCGTGCAGTCGGATGATCGACTCCTCCGGTTTCCCCTGAACCTCCGACGGAACCCATTTCAGTCTCCCCGCATAGTCACGTGAAACTGATGTGGCTAGGTCTGTAACAAAATTGTCCGCATAAGTGGAATCTGCCTGGCTTTCTCATCTTGCTTATCCTGGTCAATACTTATCGCATCAACCCATAGTGTTCTTTCAAGTTGGCGGTTTCGGAGGTACAACAGCGCAGTATGGAGGTTCTCTGTAACAGAAAAATTACAGCCGTTTAGTGTGATTGATCGAGATTTAATACTACCCCCCCATACATAGGAAAGCGCCTCATAAAGATGCTTTCCATCGCCCATCTCTGATAAACTGTAGTTGAACAGTTCGCATTCTATCCGGCCATTCTTATCCTCGTGCGGCAGAAGACGGATCATGCGAGTAGTAATAGACTCTGGCGGAAGCGTTGGATAAGTGAAAGAGGGCAGAGTCACAGAAGGGCCATGTTCTGGGATTGAAGACATCTCCTGGTTATAAATTATCCATGCAGTATTGAGGATTGTAGCTGAAGCTCATCCAGTGTTGAACAACAAAATATGGATTAGCTCCCCTAATCATTTGATCTGAGGCAAATACAGACTCGCTTGGGGGGGGGCTTGTTGAGGAGCTGAGTTGGCATGGCTGGATGGCGGGTAACTGATTGTGACCCAGAGAAAATGTGTGCTAGTTGGCAGCAAGAAAATGATAAGCCTGGTCACAATAGATAAGTTAATCAAGATTATTATAGCAATTTACACAATTAAAGGTTTTCTTTGCTCAAACTACCTTAAGCTTATACAAATTCTGCGTTGACCAGGACAGGAAATCATGAGGTCAAGATCCATAAATCATGGCGATTGAAAGTGAATAGCTATTACTTTTGAACCAACTTATTTGAGATACTAGATCGGACCGAGCCGATCACATTCCAGTATGTAATTTATCGGTAATTTGAGCAGTAATCTTACGCCAAGGGATATTAATTACACCTGTCAGGTTGACTGACTAGCGTCTTAGCAGTAGGACTCTAAACAATTCAAGGGAGTGCAGGGCGGAAGCTGATTTCGCTACTGTGTGTACTATTTCCGAGCCCGTGACAAACAATTTTCATCTACCACACCGCCCTGCATTACCACAGCCCATTCATTGGTTCCATTAATGGAAATAATACAACGTTGCTTCAAGCGCCATGGCTATGTGGACTCCTAACATTACTATGTGATATGATTTCACGCTTCATGCCCTTGACCCAGCCCATGAGCCTGTGGGTGGGTTGTGTTGGGTGAGTTGTGTTAGGGCTCAATCCCCGTGTTACAGACCTAGCCACATCAGCCTCACGTGACTATGCGGGGAGTCAAGGCAGAATCATTGGGTTACAAGAAATGATGGGAATGCAGGAAGGAACAGGGATTCCAGCTGATATCCCAAAGGATCAGTCACGTGACCCCTACCATTTATCTACCATAAATGGTATACGGAATGGTATACGCTACCATCTATCTACCCTAGATGGTATACAGAATGGTAGGAAAGCGGAGGATATATAAGGACACTCATTCATGTACTTAGTTTAGTTCTTCGCAATCAATCTAGTTAATCAAGCATTGGTTACCTTCTAGTTTCTGACTCGTCTGCACTTAACCAACAACCCAGCATACGTGCTCGGTTGGCCTTGTTTCTCTATTCGTTACCTTTACCGATTCTACCTGTTGACTACCTTACGGAGCCTGGAGGGGGCGATATACCTTCGACGTGATATACAGAGGACCTGGATGGTCGTTGAGCATATGACTGCTTGGAAGGCACTTAGGGTAAGTGTCCTGTCTCGAAATACAACTAACTAGAACCCTAGGTACGATACGAGGGAAGCCAGGTTGTGACACCCCGTCCAACCGATCCGTCTAATATTTCTACTGGCTGTCCATCTCCCTCATCGGCCATTCTGTAGATAACAACAAATTATATTCCTATCTGAACTAGGTAATCCAAACATGAGAATATTGAATCTGAGGGAGAGAAGAACGAGGATCCCCTGGTCAATGAAGAGCATTATTCGTAATTTGTCTGTCTTCTCCAGGAGGACTGAAGTCCCTGAGCCTGTTTGTATGGCCTCATCATCAAATGTGCTGTCCCGTCGTCAGCGGTCGAGACATCTGCCATTGATCGCCACCATTGGTGGCTGTTACATTTGCCGTTAGCCAACCGCCATAGTTCCCAAATGCTAAGGCTGGGACTACAGAATCTATTTCTCAACATCCTTCGCTGTCCCCATCACCATGTCTAGACTCTTGTCTGCCACCTCCCACTCTTTCTGGATAATATCCAACACCCAGTTCCCTCTCGGCTTAAGCTTTAATTTCCGCTCCCTCGGCATCGTCATGAATCCCACCACGACCATCTCCCACGGATCCACCACTCCACTGTCTATCATCTCAAAATCAAACGCCCACAGCAAGTTGGCAACCTGCATAAAAGTCCCATCAGTGGCGACTCTCTTGCCCTGGCAGATCCGTCGGCCCTGTCCGAAGACCGGCAGTGGAAGGTCGGTCCGCAGTTTGGCCTCCTCCCCAACGTTGCCCTCGCCCTGCCGTAGCCACCGTTCGGGAATAAAATCCTGCAGGTCTCCCAGAGTAGGGTCAAATACCGCTTCATCTCGACTGATAGCCCACGCATTTGCCATGACCGTGACCCCTTTGTCGATTCTCACGCCTTTGAACTCGTCATCCCGGTCTGCCCGTCGAGGAATGGACCCTGGTGAAATGGGCCGCCACCGGAACAGCTCGTGGGCCACGGCATCAATGAAAGTGAGCCTTGAGCGATCTGAAAAGCGCGGCAGGCGATCACGTCCAACCACCTTGTCGAGGACAGCATGTGCTTGGGCTACAAAGGAGGGCTGGTGCAACGCTGCAGTGAACAGCCACAGCAGCTGGCGTGGGGAGGTCTCCATACCGCCCTGGATTGAAGTAGCCAGGGTGAAGGCAAGATCAAGGTCCGCAACAACAACCGGGGAGGCAGCCTGGGCGTACTTCTCTGTGGTGGAAATGGCCTGCTTCGTAGCGTTCCAGCCCACTGCCAAGTCTCGTCCATGATGGAACAAACGCATGTAGAGGTTGACCTGGGTAGCGAACAGCCGGTCTGCGGCGCGCTTCCAGGGCGACAGGAAGGAAGGCAGATATCGCAGCAGCGGAATGAGATCAGGCAGGCCGGGGTTGGCGGCTAGATGGGTCACCTGTGTCTGAATATTGATGATTTCGTGCAGAATGGGTTCCTCGAATCGTGGAATGCGCAGGCCGTAATGCAGCCCTAGGATGACGCTCGACTGGGTGCGCTCCAGGAGGTGGTAGATGGTATCAGTGCTAATCATGCTGCTTCTGTCCAGGCTCTGTCGCACAGCGTTGGAGAGATCGAACAGCAGCTGTTTGGACTCTAGTTCCATCAAGGATTGATACTGTGGAGCAGCGACCGCGCCCAGGCTGGGAGCAAGAATCCGGTGATGCAGCTTCAGATGATCGTCATAATCGTGCATCAAGGTGAAACGCGACTGGCCCGGCTCGGCATCAGTGATCATCTCCATGCTGACCGAGGCCGGACGGTTGCTATACCACTGGCTGCGGCGGCTGAACAATTCCGTCACGGCCTCGTACGAGTTGAGCATGACAATAGGTATGATTCCAAACAGCTTGGGTACCGCAATGGGCCCATTCTGCGTAGCCCATGTATCCCAGTTTTCCAGCGGCCTGTCGATAGGCGAGGTATGTAGGTCGCTGATGAGGGGGAGCTTGAGCAGAACTTTCTCCTCCTTTTTGCTTTTATTCCAAATTCTCACATATGTCAGTGTCAACAGGCTGACTGCGAGCGCCACCAGGACCGGACAGGTGGTAGCCATGCCGGCTTGCTACTGAGACTAGGACAGCAGGAGGCACCGGGATGCTAGAGAAGTTGTCAGATTAACCAGCATTCACATGTAATTTAGCAGTTATTCAGCACTGTGGGCCAAGACCTGATTACCCTTCCCGAGAAGCCACCGGATTGGGTCGAAAGCGACGCAGGATTCGAATCCATACAGCGTCCACGGAAACCTGGAGATATATCGCTTGACACTGTTTGTCCCACATATACCCTTATCAAGTAGGGGATGATACATACGACCATAGGGTGTGGAGAACAGGGCTTCCCGTCCGCTCAGCCGTACTTAAGCCGCAGTGCATCCGCACGGTGAATAGTTAAAAGAGCCCTAACTCCAATATTTCTCCGGAGCAAAGAAGTGGGGCTGGTGTGGGTGATAGGGGTGCGATATCTATAGCTTCTAGCACCAAGGGTGCGATGTTGGCACCGGGGGGTGCGATGCAGTATTCTGAAATGGAAAATTCTCGCACTGGGGGTGCTCAGGATCGTACAGGTGAGCGGAGAATGAAAACAAAGGCGCAATGACTCGGAAATGATGATAAATAGCGAGATCCCCAAGAACTCTTTGACTGTATTCTGTACTCATGCACTCCTACCCTGCCTTTACATTTTGGCCTTCCTCTCTCCCCTCCGTACGCACGTGATATTATATGACCATGATTGACAAGGGCCGTCTCCAGCAGCTTGTAGAGACACGGCAGCGCTTAGCAGCTTCTCGCGGCTTCACCATCGATTATCAGAACGAGCAGGCATCACAGGGAAATGTCAAATGTTATAAAGAGCTGGCACCCCCGACATATGAAAAACATGATCGAGCAGTCGAAAACTGGATAGTGTAAGTCCACGCCCGCCAAGCCCATAATACAGCCGTTTATAACAATATCACCATAAAAGTTGGCACCTTTCAAGCAACGAGAATCACGAAAAGTACTTCTCCAAGGATGAACCCGATCCGTCGCCCCAAATCTTGAAGTTATTCGCTGAGTACTTTATTGCAACACGGACGAACATTCCTTCCCAGAGGACAACCTGTGATAACCTAACCAACTTTACTTCTTGCTGGGAGCGAAAAACAAACAGAACACTGTCTCTTGAAGTTAAGAAAGATGTCCTAAATGTATAAATACACAATGCCACCAACTTTCTATAGAGACGGAGTCTGCTGACGCGAGTTCAGTATATACGGACCAAACTTACACGAAAATATGGACTGCCTACCAAACCGAGAGAGCGGTTCATCGTGACAGCTAAAGATATCGGTTACCTTCTTCGCCATCTGTTCGAGAATGATGACCACGATTATTTACATGAACGAATGAGAGTTCAGATAGGCTCCGCACTGTCTCTGTTCGCTGGCTCAGGGGCGCGGGCAGGTGCAGTTGTTGAATCGAGCTCTTACCGTAATACAAATGAGTGTCTTTGTTACAAGGTAGGGCCTAATCAATCACCTCTGTATTGTATACACTACACGCTAACAGTTTTGTCCTACTACTCAGCACCTTACCTTCAACCTAAAATGGAGCGAGAATGGTTCAATCAAGCGATGGGTAGTAATAGATTCTGAATTCCTGAAAGGATGGCGTTACCGAGACGATACTAAGTTGTAGGTCTTAAGAGGTGCAAGGCGTTTCTACATTTGTGTGCTGACCCTATAATGTTCAGGCCGAAGAACTGGTTCCGGGAGCATCCTGTGCTTGGGATGAACTTTGCCTTTTGGGTTATTGTCCATGGAATTGCAGATGGCGCATTTAAGGGTATTTCCTCAGTTGATGAGCTCTTGTCGAAACGGCCTCCACCAGGAAGAGAATCCTTCACGCTTCAGTGGACAGATCACGCCAATGAACTTCCTTTTTTCCGCAAGGTCACATCGCAGGGGCCTGAAGAAAAAAAAGGATTGACATTCTCTTCACTTCATCATAATTTTACAAGCCTGGCTGAACGGGACGGATTTAAAGACCGCCTTCGAGTCCACGGAATCAGAGCGGGAGTAGCAAATAAGATTGACCGTATAACTCCCTATCCCCCATATTTCCCTAGCCCTGCTGACCATCTTGTCCAGCTAAGGCATCTGAGGCTACACGTAGCCAAGGACTTGACCACCAGAAACATGAAACGTTTCTTAAGTATCAGTCTGAACTGAAAACTTTAGATATACAGGCATTATATTACGACATGGAGCCGGATTACGAGTGCCGTGAGATGGAACAGAGTATGGCCCATCATCGGGACCCTAACGTCCCACGGCATCTTAATGCTGCTAAACTAGCCGAATTTGAACACGATGATGAAACTATGGCCCTTAATGAGAAAATTGCGGAGCTAACAAAGCAAATCGGGGGTCAACCTGAAACTCATAAAGGCCTTGTCCTCGAGCGAAACCTACTTTATAGCAGAAAAGCTAGAAAGCTCAGAGAAAAGCATGCAGAATTTGCCAAACAATGGTGGGACACAGCCTATGACGAATACATTGCAGGAAATGACTTCACAGAGCGAGATACAACATGCCTCTTTAATATTTACAGGAAGTACATGCCTGAACGATCTCGAATTCAGGAAGCCTTGTTCAAAAAAGTGCCTCTCGATAGTGAAGAAGGAAAGCAATGCCTGCATGATATGGTCGCCCTGTGCATGTCTACTGAGAAAGTTGCATATTATCCCGGAATGACTCCTGTGAATGGATTTTGTCCGGTTTGCCAACTGCCAATGTCAAGGTACGTTTCACAGATGATATGAAATTCTTATGATACCCGACCCTGATATACAGTAGGCTTGGCCTCCAGAGCCGTGCAAAACACATTTTACAATGTCAAAGAAAGTCTTTGAATGCCGCTCCCTATCAACAGAATTATAAAAACGGCAAGAGAGCCCACCGTCGTGTGAACCGTGCCTTTGTACAATTCTGTTACCTTTGCGCCGAGTTCTCATACAGTGAAGAAGATTGGGATAAACACTGCCAATTCCATTTGGCAAATCTCCATCCTCGATGCGGCATTTTAACATTTCGGTACACATTGGTAGCAGCTGGACTCTGTCCTTTTTGCTTGGGTGATGAAACCAAAAATCCCAGTGAAAGGTTTAACCAGTGGCTGCAGAAGTCAACCCTCTTAAACCACATTGATGATAAGCACATGAATAAGCTATGCCAGCCAGAAACACAGGTCCAATGTCCTCACCCATGCTGTCGAGACAAGCATTATGGCAGTAAAACAGGCCTTCGACGTCATTTCTTTGATGTACATTCTCTCTCAGAGCCTCGCTCCAACTGTGTCTCCAGAAAAAGACGGTGGGACTTCCAAGACGACGTAAATCCTACGAAAGTGGCCAAGCACGAGGAAGATAAAGATAAGATGATAAACCATAGCGACAATCTTGAATAATGAAGTGCTTCCATATGTATATCAATGGGCATTTGCATTCCATAAAAAAGACATTGAAAGTGTGATATTATCATAAGGCGTTGGTCTCAACGTATTATGCTGAATGTCCTTGGGAGGAAAGCAGTAATTCGAAAAAGACTCTAATACACTTCAGTGTTTGGTGCATCCTCATAGAAGGACCGGATATCTGGAATATTCACTGCGAGGCCTTGCAGGACTTGGCTGACGTGGTTAATGTCATTTAGCCACTGTGAAAAGTTTTTTTGATAATATTCTGCCAAGGACATCCATTTATGGACTTCCTGCTGCGTAGTAGCAATTGTTCCGTAGGAATTCTTGAGATTCTCATTCAGACTGAAGATCTCCCTTTCTATTACCTCTTTCGCCTGTCTACTGCTATCAGCATCCTTTTCAAGAAATTCCACCTTTTGTGCAAGCCTCGCATTTTCCTCTTGAAGAGATTCAAGCTGGAATTTTAGAGGCGGACATGGGGAACTCTAATGAGTGGTATCAGCTGATAATTCAGTAGTCCAGTCTTTACAATGGCCGTCTTACCTCATTTGCGCTATGTCGATGGACCGCCCAGAAGGAGCGGCCAACCTTATCTGCCAAAGTTATGTAGGCCCCAACAGAGTGCTTACTCAACTGCTTTTCAAATAGTTCCTGGATCCTAGGGTCCTGTACATGCCAGGCATATTCCGTATTTTCGTCATCAATCTTGAGACGCACTTCGCTTGGTTTGACGTCGATCTGAAGGGTATTGACTATGCTTTGTATTAACCAGACATTTCGTACTATTTAGAAGGGGATTCTACCGATATGTTCAGAAAGAATATTCCGGCACATTGACCGGAGCGCTGATCGTTTGTGGATCCCGACACGGGCATATGTCCTGTCTTGGTCTCCCATTTCGCTTCCTCTGATATATGTGGGTATAGACCAGAATTTCGACGGAGTTACGGGTACATATAACTAGATTCTATTTTGAAAGCATGTACTTAATAAGGGTTTTACAGCCTTAACATATAATCCCGTCTTCTTGATCTTTGTTCTACCATGTCTTTGTTTCTTTGGTCATCTCTCCTTCATTTTCTATTTTTGCTACTGTAAGTATGGGTGAATTTTATGTGTTTCCCAAGGGTCATTTGGCATTGTCTGATGAACAAGCATTGCATTGATTATGTTTGCAGTGTCAATGATCAGTGAATTGATATAACAGAGCTGGCTTGAAGACGGACACCTGGCCCACCTCCAGTGACCAAGCATTTACAGAGGAGACGAACAGGGCCAAAAACAAAGTTGGACAGAACATTGTTGAGTAATCAAGCCATGACATACAACATGCTTATCAGAACCCAGAAGGTGCTCATCAATTATCTTGCTGTGCAATAATTTACATGTCATTGGATGGAAACTGACATGTAGGAGAAAGAGGAAACCCACTTGCAAGCATGATTCATGCTGATAATTTAGTGTATTTCAATGCTCTGCCCATCTGTGATCCTCAGTTCTCCACCCCATTCTTGCCCGGGTTTTTTTCAAGCTTTTGGACGGAAAGAGAAAGGAAAATGAGCAATGAGATATCTGGGTAGAAAACCCGGCCACAAAACACATGGGAGCAGGAAGCGGAAAAAAAGGTTGCCCAAGAAAAAGACCTGTGAGATGCCCGAGGAACAAAGAAAAACTGGATGGAGTGTAGTGTTCTCCCATAATGTAACTCCCGCCCGTGTGTTCAACCTGGCTAGACCTTGCTGAGACCCTCCGCCTGACTCTTGACCCTTGCTGAACCTCATCTACTCTCATTTTCATAAACTTTCATGCTTTAAACAACCTGATTTGCACGCATAAAATGGTTTCTATCTTAATATAGTACTGTTTGTCTTGTTTGATCGCCCGCGGATCAAGGTGAGATCTTGTTGGAGTTCCTGTTTCGATACTGTCTTGATACCAAATCGGCACTGTATTGTTATGTCACCCTGACCGCACTACTGCTGTGTTAGAACTAGATCTGTTTCATGTATGTATATGAAAGGGATCACTTGGCTCAAGAGCTCTATTAAGACACTCATCTCCAATCCTTTTCAACCGTTATGGAAATCTATCAAACAGGAGGCAGAATACTGCTAAGTAATTTGCAGTCGCCCACTAGCTTCAGTCTGTTGGTACAGTAACTCAGGGGCTTTATACCTTGTCAATTTATTGTGAGCTTAATGCGCTGGTACTCTTTGAAGAGGATTTCTTTCTTTTTCTTTTTCTTTTTCTTTCTTTCGCCTGTAATAAAAATCTATATTCTACCGTGAACCATGTTGTTCAAATGTGACGGCTCAACCCTTCAACGCCACTTTGGTAGCTGATATCAACAAACGCCGCTGTCCGAACAAGCAAACAAAGACAGCACTAGTGTGGCCACACACCACATGGATAAAGTCCCCTTTCTCCTGTAGATAGATTTCTCCTCTTCTCTTCTCTCCAGATTCGATATTCTCGTCAATGACTACAATAGTTTAGACAGAAATATCAGTTAGTATTATTTACTATTCCGAGCCCGTGACATCAAAGGATGATCAATCAAAACCGCCTAACTCTCAGACTCCATATTTAATGCTTTTGGAAAGAAAACTGTACTGTATTACGAGACTTGGTAAGCCTTTACTTATATATTCTGCTCTAATATACTAATCTCCTTACTCTCTGCCTAGCCACGTGTGCCCCAAAGCGAGGAGTCCTACCGATACGATAAATATGCCATCTCCTCGGCTTCTGGGCATTCATTGTGCCATCTCGCGGATTTTGAAATTCAGTGGTGCGGGCGAGTATATCGAGCAGGTTCTTCGGGACTTGGGACAGGTCACGGTGGAAGCAGATGGGTCAATCAATCTGGGGGATATAATGAAGTTACGGTTCGATGGCTGGGTAAACCAATTAACTGTATTCTGATTCGGCGAGGTCCTTTATTTTTGATGGCTTCTTCCAACTGGCGAACAGGTAAATCAACTAGGACCCAAGTGTTTCATTTTGGCCCGGACAATTGTATTACATGGTCAGAAGAAACTGGGAAGTTCCAGTAATTGCTCTCACAAGCCCGTCTCGTTTCATATTATCGCAAACTCCCAAATGACTGTAGATTTCATCTTCTATATCCCCCAATGCGTTGTGTGATCTCCGCCCAGGGAAAAATCCGCTCGGAAGTGTTGCTGCTATCCGACAAGAAGGGTATTCAAAGACGATATTGCGTGGCGGGCCCCCACCCTCGAAGATGGCAAGGACACGATATTCATCAGCCACAATGCCGCCTTCCACAAGGTATTCGTCACGGTGGTTCCATATCTTCCTCCGAGGATCCAGCCCTGTATCAGAATATCCAAGCCTGGCTGCGATCTTCTCTGCGCTGTATACACCCGACAAATGCTCTACCCATACTGCGATCACAACAATATCCGTTTTCCCCTCTCTTTCCAGTGTTTTCCGTCGCTGCATGGCCCGCTTCCAAGTGCCGAAGGATAGGAATCGTGTGGGCTTTCTTTTCCAAGACAGATGATCATCAAACTCTTGCAATGATGGCGGGCCTTCATAGATCGTTCTCCGTGCACACAGGTAGCCTTCTCTGAAGCTTGTGTTACTACTGCACTCGGCGCGAAATAGGAGCGATGGTTTGGCGTTGTCTGGCAACGGATGGACGAACATCTTGATCCAGCATTCGAAACTCAATAAAGGTATACAGCTTGGAACAGTGGTAGAATTGTCGCGCAGTTCGTTCTTGGAGGCTGCGTTGCTGGAAACTGAGGGGATGAGGGAATTTTGCCGCCTCATGGGTGTGTCATCGCGTCATCAATCAGCCGTTGTTGACCGCGTGACAAGGATGCACATTCACAAAATTAATAAAGTTTGCATAATTACGGTACAGTACAGGGAATTAAAAAAAAAAAGCTCAATAAACTACTCATGCCAAGTTTCTGGCGGTGGGGCCAACAAACAATTGACAAGTTTTTGAAGGTCAGACCGATTTCGAGCATCACTGTAACCATACGGCATCATTAGTCATGTAACAATTCATACCATTCGATACGCTATCCTGGAACAGAGTTTTCGGGGTCATGACAAAAGGGGTTAAGTGTTTTTTTTTGGCATAGGGTTTGAGAGACAAAAGAACAATCCTTAGGGGTGACACTGCTTTTGCATCAGAGTGTAAACATCCGAGAAAATTGCAATTTAGTTTAGCTAAAAAGAGATGGGCTGTCATAGGAGGGTATGAGTTGGCTAGACCTCTGCAGAGCCCAAGTGTCACAACCTGGATTCTCCCATATTGTACCTAGGGTTCTAGTTAGTTGTATTTCGAGACTGACCACTTACCCTAAGTGTTCCCCAATGTGTCCGTATGCTCAATGCCCCTCCGGGTCCGGTTGGTGATGCGTCGATGGGTATATCGTCCCCTCCAGGTTCCGTAGATAATCGACAGGTAGTATCGATAAAGGTAACGATCGAGAAGCAAGGTCAACCGAGCACGTATACTGGGTTGTTGGTTAAGTGCGGACAAGTCAGAAACTAGAATGTAATCAATGCTTGATTGACTGGATTGGCCGCGAAGAACTAAGCTAAGTACATGAATGACCGTCCTTATATATCTTTGGTCCGTATATCAATTTGGACTACCATCCTGATGGTAGTTATCATGGTAGTCGTATACCATGTACCAATGCCAAGAGATGGTATATGGTGAAGCGGGGTCTCTCGGATCGTAGCTCAAAAGGGAAATCGGGGGTCGATTATTCCGGACTAAACGAGGTCTATATGTAGATAACTAGTTTAACGAAGAGCTGTACTGTCTAACGAATGTATGTGCGCATACGCAACTGATTGAGTGCTTAATCTACAATATGTGCGCACACATCGACTATAAGAATCTCCTGACCTCGCTACTCGGGTCAACCATTTATCCGATCAATCCTTATCGTGAATACAGTTAAGCCCAGTAGTAGTAGTAGTAGTAGTTGCTATTTAACGTCGGAGGTGGGACGTGCGTCAAATCACGTGCCCACAGAGATCCCGGAACGGAATATACGACGGGCGAAGCGGGCTCGCCTATCTAGTAGCTAAACTAATTCTATCATACATGCTGGCAGAAGCTCCCAGATAGGAGCTTGCCTAAGATTCTTGGGCCGCAAAGCGGCAATATGCATTCTGTGGAGGAAAGGGGACGAAGGAAAGGAGGGGTAGGAGAGGAGGGTGAAAAGCTTTCAAAGTGGGGGATTTAGTGTGCTGGGCATACTGTGTGGTAGAAGTGAGATCTTTGCAGCCATTTGTGGAAGCACATTGCATTTTCGGAGCTTCGGCCTAGGTGCCACTATTATAAAACCTAGATATAAGCTACTGCTAATGCCGATACACCTTAAGCTAATATACATTTATATAGCACCTATATTAACCGACCACCGCGTCTGTCCTGTCAAGCCAGTATTAATGATTCCAGATGCTAGGCATTTTCAGAGCTTCGGCCTAGGCGCCATGATTATAAAGCCTAGATATAAGCTGCTGCTATTAGTTGGAGCTTGGCATTTTCAGGATCCCGGCCTAGGCGCCATTGTTATAAAGCCTAGATATAGACCGCTGCTAACAGCTTGTTCCTCATTCTGATGTTTCACATTAACCTGCTGCCGCCCACCTAGCTACTAGGTTGAATAGTAGCTAGCCTTCCGGCTGCCCATATCGGCATCCCAGCCTACCTATGGGCCGTCATGGTCTTGCCTCTATACATAGTATAGAAACTAACCAGTAGCATAATGCTACCCGGGGTGTCCTAATCGGATAGTTTTTAAAACCATTCCCCGAATTGGTGCTAGCTTAGACATAAGCCATATGGCATATATTTTAAATCCCTTGCATGGATTATGCTAATGATTCCCGATGCTAGGCATTTTCAGAGCTTCGGCCTAGGCGCCATGGTTGTAAAAGCCTAGATATAAGCTGCTGCTATTAGTTGGAGCTTGGCATTTTCAGGGTCCCGGCCTAGGTGCCATGATTGTAAAACCTAGATATAGACCTCTGCTAACAGCTTGTTCCTCATTCGGATGTTTTTCATTTAGCATACTGCTACTTACCAGCGCTACCAGTGGCCCATTGGTAGCTAGGATTGCAGCAGCCCATATCAGCATCCCAGCCAATGTATGGAACTGAGGTGGAACACGCGCCAAGAAGACGCGTGTTCCTCACACGTTCCCCGCCCGCGTCTGTTGACACCGGCGCCCCTTTTTCACTGAGAATTGGGGGTAGCGCAGCGGGGAACAGCGCAGATAGAGAAGTGAAGAATACGCGTTTTTCCTCGCGCATCCCCGCCCGCGTCTGTTGACACCGGCGCCCCTTTTTCACTGAGAACTGGGGTAGCGCAGCGGGGAGAAGCGCAGATAGAGAAGGAAGTGAAGAAGAAAAGGAAGTGAAGAAGAAAAGGAAGTGAAGAAGAAAAGGAAGTGAAGAAGAAAAGGAAGTGAAGAAGAAAAGGAAGTGTACAGTTAAGCCCACCCGACCGTAGACCTTAGCCCACCCTCTAGCCGGTCACGTGGTATGAGGCCACCCTGACACACGAAGGTGGGCCGAGGCTTTTCAATACCTTGCAAAAATATAGTTTTCTCACCTCTCTTTTACTACATCTCTCTATATCTCTATATTTGATTGAAATCAGGCTAACATTTGAGTATTTTATTAGGTATACAAGAATACGAATGCAATTTAGGATGTAGAACTAGTTATTAACTAGTTCTACATTCTAGTCTTCATGTAAAATCTGCTCGTTTTGTTCATCATATAAACTGGATTCAGAGATAGAATCCGGTACAGTAGATGAATCAAGACTAAGGTCAATAAGATCATTGATCAATGTATGATCATTCTCAAGGTAATCATAAACATTGATCGTTTCCATGATTAGAACTAGTTATACGAAATATGCGTATGGTATGTTACAGAGTGCGGTAAGACCAGGGTGGGCTGAGCCTTTATATTTGAGGTCACATGTGCCAAGAGCCCCACTTTGAGGGTGGGCTGAGGTCTGCGGTCGGGTGGCCTCAACTGGAGAGATCAGGTCGGCTGAGGTCAATATTTTGGTCGGTTGTACCAAAGTGGGGCATTTAGCGTCTTGGCAGTCATGTGACCCACATCCCAGCGTGTAATATCTTTCAACCCAATTGACATCTTTCACAGTACTTACCAACCACTAATCTCTTTAAGATGGCTGCCATGTCGAATAATGTAAGTTTTATTGAACCCAAACCACTTCTAGGATGATTATATGTCTATTAGACAGTTTTTAAATCACATTGGCACATTCCAATCACTTACTGGCTTGTTCAAAAGTGATATTGTTAGTACCTCCGCCAGTTAACCAGAGTTTCCGGCTTACGAAATTTATAAGCTCACAACCACTTAGCGACTGCTTAGCAACTGCTTAGCAACTACTTAAAAAACTACTTGTTGGCTGGCCTCCAGGATGAAATCGGACATATTCTGGTATATATATATATGTGTTATTTATGCGGGACAGGAGTAATAAATATTTCCTTATTAAGTTGATAACTTTGAAAAGAGTGTATGTACCACATAATAAAGCTATGAAAATATATATTGCAGTCCCAACCAGAAAGTAAAATCAACTGCTTGAGATAACTGCTTAACAACCACTTGATAACCACTTTACTATTGTAAAGATCATACTCTGTGACGACTCATATATGACGGCTCATATATGACGGCTCAACACTTCAGCAATGAATGATACATCGCAAATGCTGCTACTCAACCATGTCGGCAACAACCTCTATAAAACCCCTTCATTACCTAGATAGATTTCCTCTTCTCTTTTCTTCTCCAGATTCGATATTCTCGTCGATGGCTACAATAGTCTAGATAGGAATTCAGTTCGTTATTATCTACTATTCCGAGCCCGTGACATACTCTGAATAAAACTTTTTCAAAAGCCAACTAACTACCTACTAAGTAGTTATCAATCAGTTTCCTCTTCCTGTAACTTCCTCCGTTCCTTGATAAGTTCTAACTCTGCCTTTTCATTAGCAATTTGCTTAGCGCGGGTCTCTTCCTCCTGAGCCTTGATAGCTGCCTCCATCTGCCGAAGCTCAAGATCTTGCCTCCTTTGCTCAAGGGTCATGATATTTGTGGAGGCAAGTCGTCGAAGACCTGGCTGAGTAGAATGGACAGACCTAAGCACTCTGTAAGTGCTGTGCCTAGAAGTAGCCAGGTAGTTAAGACTTACTCATTATCATCATGTGTATGTGATGGTGAGGATGATGATACTGAGACCACTGAACCACCACGCTTAGATGCCTGCCTTTTTGGTAGGATCTCAGTCAGAGCAGATGAACTTGATGTAGCAGAACGTTCACGTTTACGTGCTTCCCCTTCAAATGGTCAGTAAGTGCTTGCTAAGTAAATGTCAATTACCAAAACATACTAGCTGATTTTCCTGTTTCTAGTTAGCGAGTACTTTGGAAGCATCTAATAGGTACTTGATCAACTTACTTGCCTCCCCCTCCCTCATATGTTGTATATAAAAGTTCTCCATATTTGCAGACTTATACGAATGATGGATACCAAACTGCATAAAGTTCTTATACTGAATAATATCATCCTTATCAAGCTTTGCCGAGCTAATTTTAATCAGTATACAACCGGTTTGTAAGTACTTGGGACGTACTTTTTGACTGCTTGAACCAAGGTAAGATACTTCCCTGATGCATAAGACTTTTGGTGAGACTGTGTCACAACCTGGCTTCTCTCGTATCGTACCTAGGGTTCTAGTTAGTTGTATTTCGAGACAGGACACTTACCCTAAGTGTCTTCCAAGCACTCATATGCTCAATGACCATCCAGGTCCTCTGT